AAAATTCTAACATTTAAACCGACTAAACAATAACATAGTAAACTTGCATAATTAAACAGCAACTAAAAATGATAGGTTTTACTAAATCTTTTTCTGTGCAATTATTACTAGCATTGGAGACAAGGATAATAGTTTGTTTGAAAGAGAAAAAAACAGGCTTTGAAGTAAGCCTAAAAGCGCTTAACTAGAAATAGTATTTCGAAAGTTATTAAGCACAAAAGATGAATTGCGTTTATTTTGATACACCCTGCATATATATATAGCCAAATCGGTCATTGACAAGAATTTAAACTGTGAAGAAAACTGATCCTTGCAGACAATATAACAGGTAGATTATATATATATATATATATATATATATATATATATATATATATATATATATATATATATATATATATATATATATATATACATATATATTATATACATGACAAAATTACTGCAATCTGATTGGTTCAGAGGATTGCAATTATTTCATTAATTGCACTCTCCAGGAGTGCAATTAATGATTTTCGTGATGGCTGGGGGGAGCGGGAAATCCAAACAACAAAATCCAATATGGCGGCGAAATTTAGATAAGTATTTATAACAAATGTGGACGAATTTAACTTAATTTTGGTTCAAGAATGAGTTTAAGAAACATTGTATGGCAAAAAGAGCCTTGGAAAATACCTGGAAACATTTTTAAGAAATAATCTTGGCGGGATGCAGCGAAACGTGACTATGTAAGGCCATGGGAATGAAAGTCATAGATTTGCGTCCGGATAATTTTGAAAAAACATGCGGGTTTTTTTCATTATTCATTATTCATTACTTTTTTACCATCCTTTTGGGTGGTAAATACAGAGATCAAAATACGAATTACCGTTTACGCCACAGAATTACATATATCTCGAGCTCACGCAGTTGCAGTAATGATGATCTGTGTGCCAATTTCGCCATTTCGGTGAATATAATTTGGAATTTCATAGAATGTGGATACTGAGGACAAACACACTACAATATGTTCATTTTATTGTAATCAATACACAATTTTATTGCTAATTTTATTGAGTTTTGCTTTATTTGTGAAAATAATGAATTTTTTTGTAAATAATGAAAATTTTAGGCGGTAGCTTTTGAGGCATGCGGGCGGTGGACGCAAATCTAAGACTTTCATTCCCATGGCCTAAGTTTGAAATACAATTTATAAAGATTTTCTTAGTCTAAAATATGTTGTTTGAATTTGAATCTTGTGTTCTAGTTTAAGTTATGTGCCTTTATGAGTTTATAGTCATTTCCCAAGTTTGTCTATACTAAATTGCTTACAAAAGAATGAAAAATTCTTGACAAAATGCAGTTGAAATATAAAGAAAGCGATTTTGTCATGCATATAATAAATAAATAATCACACGGGCAAGTCGTGCAATTAATGATTAACACTACTCGTGATATTTGAAAAATGTGCCAAATTGCACTCGCCTCGGCGGCTCGTGCAATTTTGGCACATTTTTCAAATATCACTCGTTAGTGTTAATCATTAATTGCACTCCTTCCCGTGTGATTACCTATACACATATATATATATATATATATATATATATATATATATATATATATATATATATATATATATATATATATATATATATATATATATATATTCCCAAAATAATTTCACGAATAGCCAATCCACCTGCCCTCAATCAACCTGCATGGCTATAATATTTAGTTAGGTTAGTTAAAGGGGAATTTATATTGACGAGATTTAAAAGGATCCGGATCCAACTGTGTATCAGTCCAAATTAGAGGTAGACATTTTTCATAGGTAAAGTCATTTAGAGTCATGCAGTTTCTATAAAGATAATCATCGCAGATATCCGAGCAAACATTCGAAATGCTCTTGAAATGAATCCGAAAGTCCAAAGCAATCCGAAATGTTCTTGCAAAAACGTCATTTTCACACATTTATTGGCTACTAAAGTTCATCCTATGCCATATATAGACGAAATAGATAATAATTATATATTAATATCAAGACGTCACCGTAAAGATTATGCAAAGTGTAAAACTATAGGAAATTACTTGACATGTAAACGTATGGCATATGCTTGTAGTATTAATTTCATCAACGTTGAGACCATGCAGATCTAGAGATACAGCATGTCAACTCTTGAAAGCGATGCCTGCTTGAGATCATGAGATATATGTTCGTCGATATGAGTTCAACTGTAGCTATATTTATTTTCTTAAAATTAAGTTTGTTAGTCATTTACAACTTTGGCAATGCAATTCTACACTGTCTAACATACACCAAATCTTAAAGACATTATTTAATTTGGAAACAAACAAAAACAGAATTTCTTAGTTTTAATTGTAGCCTAAATGTTTTATAAGGTTTGATTTTTATAAAATTATTATCCTTCTAATCTTCTTTCATTTGCTTACAGATATGAAATGTGTAACTATTTGATCTTTTCTGCAAAACGAATCGAAATGCGAAATGGCTTTTATATTTAAACTATAGATGCCATGCATATTTAAACTATATTTTTGCAAATTTTCATGCTCAGCGGCACGGAATAATTATCTTCTGACGTCACCATCGGCTATGTCAGATATCGAATTAATTGTCAATTTTGGATTACACGCAATCAGTCGATTGATCTGTTGAATTTCATGGGTTCAATTATGACATCAGATGTATAACTAATTTATGTTTGCAAAAATTACTACCGGTACACCCCAGGAAATCATTTTTCAACTAAACTTTAAAGATCGCAAATTGACAAATATATGTTGACTTGTCGCAAACTTGAACATAGGGCATAATTAGAATCAACATGTGTCACTGATTGCGTACTACATTTTAAAAATCTAGACTAGAGTGTACCAAGCCTTTCTAATGTTTTGTCCATTCCATGGTAACGTTATCTATTAGCGTGAACAGCTTCAAGAAAGATAATATCAAAATATTAACGTCAAACAGGACACATTTAATAGACTTAAAAAATCTATCAAGGTGGACGAACTGATTAACATATTAAAGTAAGATACTAAGGACGTCTTGAAAATTCAGAGTATATCTCCATATATTTCCGTTTGCCTTGCCATCTAACAACATGACTTGTTAAACTTGACTTGTCAGAGCAAGCGCCTCTCACCTCTATTACTAAAATCGTGGATTCGGTTCCAGCTGCGGACTCGTGGCACCGCGTGGGCATGTATGTGAAAAGAGGCAGTCAACGATCTTCCAAAAGTTGTATAGGTTCCTCCAGTTTCCACCCACAGGGAATGTTTAAAGGGTGGGTGGAAAGAAGCCTCAAACTGACCTCCCACCGTATAGCTGCATGTACTCTGTGGTCAGACATAAATCATAAGGTGGCTGCCAGAGGTCGCCTTGGCCTTGCTTACTTAGAAAGTCTCAGTGGCGTGCTGGGTACTCATTTTCTGGAGGGGGACAGTGCGCTTTCAACTAATATGTGGCCCTATATTGTAACGCTTGATAAACGAGTGTCGAAGGCACGAGCCGAGCGCCACAGGTGCGAGGTTTCTCTAGGGGGATCCGGGGGCATGCCCCCTGGGAAAATTTTTGAATTTGGGGTCTCTGAAATGCTATTTCCTGGACTTTGGGGGGAAGGTTTGACAGAAATCTAATGGTCAGGAAACGGCATTATAACGTGTTGAAATTTGCAATTTGGTTACAATTTAGTAGTAGTACTTAAATTGGGCAATGTTAACTCAGTTCCAGCGATTAATCTAATCCCAATTCTATTCTCTACTGATCTGGTGATCTGAATACATTTACAACATACAGCTCTTTTATACAATAACACACGGACCCCACGCATATGCACTTTAAGCTTACGGCCAAAAGGGCGCGTTTCAGCATTATCTTATCACTTACATTACTCATGAGTCATGATGTTTTTTGCACAAACAACTAACTTGCGTATACACAACTTACATTATCATAACTATCTAATTTGCGCCGCTCTCGTGAGGCTTATTGGCTGGTTGGGGTCATATCTTATTGGCTGGTTGGGGTCATATCTGAGTAAGCGGATGCAAGTGACAAGATTTGGTAACGAACTTTCTACAAGCTGCATGATTAATGGTGGAGTTCTCCAAGGTAGTCGTATTGGTCCAATCGCGTTCGTCGTTCACATTAACGGACTGAAGGCAGTGATAAAAGATACCGAGAGTAGTTTGACTAATTCAAGCAATGATGATAATGATGATGGTGATGATGACCTCACTCTTTTCATGGATGATACAACACTGTCAGAGGTTATTAACGTCCGTGATCATGTCTCGGGTACGCAAATTGGGAGTATGAACAATAATATTATGAAAGTTATGGATTTTGCCACGTCTCAAAAAATGGAGTTGAACCTGAAAAAATGTAAGGAAATGCAGTTAGATTTCCGTCAGAACAAAACAGTTATTCCACCACTAACATTCAATGATACAACGTTGGAAAGGGTTTCCACTTTCAAACTATTGGGCTTATGGATTGACGATAATTTAAAGTGGCAAACTAATACTGATTTAATAGGGAAAGCAGTTAAGCGACTCTTTTTATTAAAAACTTTAAAGAAATACGGTGCTGACAAGACTGATATGAAACGGTTTTACATCTCTGCCATCAGGCCGACACTTGAATATGGAGCGCAAGTCTGGCATGGGGGCCTTACTAAAGCACAGAGCAGCAGTATTGAGAAAGTACGAAGAAGGGCTTTGAGAATAATTTATTCCGAAAAAGATTACGAAAAGTTATTGTTGAAAGCTGGAATGCATACGCTTGAACAACGTCGCAATACTATGTGCATTGATCTTATCAGTAAATGTCTGACCCGCATCACAAACTGCACCATCTTCTTCCTAATAAACTTTGCAAGGTACGGCAAAGGGTTACACGTCAGAATGGTCAATTGTTTTACAA